CTGGAGGCCCTAAGCAGTGACTTGCCCAGGGTCACTCAGTCAGTGAGTGTAAGAAGCCAAGCCTGACCCCGAGTCCTCCTGACCTCAGGACACATTTGTTATCCCCAATGCCACACTGCCTCTCAGTGTAGAGGAAGCTGGGCCCATCCTTACCTAGCACACACTCAGCCCTTAGCTGTCTCCGCTTTCCCTCTGACTGTACCAGACTGATTTTGGCGGCTGGTGGTATAGAGCTCGGGTACGACCCCAGGGTCTTGCTGTCAAGAGGGGCTTTTGGGGGAGGCCTGGTGCTCAACAGCTGTGCAAACACAGGAGAGGCATCTGGCCTCTCAAAAGCCCCGGTCCTTTATCTGTAATGTGGCAATCCTGGCCATATTGGTAACTTCTGAGGGTCAAGACAATCCAAAGAGATTACTTGACTCCTTTGGCTACAGGTTACTTCAAACCCAGCTTTGTCTCACTTTAAGGAAGCCCAGTGTTTGCTTCACCCAAGGTAAATGAAGGGGTGATTATTTGCTTTTTAATTTTCCATCTCATGAAAAAATGCAATCATCTTATTGGATGTGACCCCCTCCTTTGTGCATTTTAAATATAGCTGACTGACAAAGGACCAGCTCACACCCCCAGGCATCTCTACAGCTGGTGCACCTTTAATATCCCCAGCCCCTTGGGAGGGCAGGCGGCCATGTTCAGCTATAACAGCATGCTTTTGAAGTGTTTCTCTTGCCTTTTCTCTGAATAACACAAAATTGTTGTGGATCTGATTCTCATCACATCCTATCCCTGGGAGAAAATGTTGAGGCAGTGAACAGAGTAAAGGAAGGAAGGAAGGAAGGAAGGAAGGAAGGAAGACGAATCTTCCTCGAGGAGGGTAGAGAGCTGGTGGTGAATCTGAACCTGCCTCTGGAGCACGCTGGCTGTGACCCAGACCCGCCAGGGCTCTAGGCAGCTCCCTCAGGCTCAGAGTTGGGGAGCACTGGAGGAGCTTCTGCCCCCAAGAGTGCCTTCTACGAAGGAAAGCCCCAGCGCTGACCCTCGTAATGAGGAAACTGGGATTAGGGCAAACAAGAAGACGGCGCCCGATAACATCACCCCTCGGCTGCTTTCTTCTGGATAGCAGCTTATTCAATTTCTGGTAAATATACTTTTGTTTAGTATGGCAGAGGGAGACCGAAGGTTAGTGAACTGGAGTACAGATCGGCTCCTAAGGCAGGAGCTACGAGAAACAGCTGGGCTGTACGGTGGTTAGAGCGCAGGGCCTAGAGTCAGGAAAACTCTTCCTGAGTTCAAATCTAGCCTCAGCCACTTCCCAGCTGTGTGACCCTGGGCAAGTCACCTCACCCCTGTTGGCCTCAGTTTCCTCATCTGTCAAATGAGCCGGAGAAGGAAACAGCAAACCAGTCCAGTATCTCTGTCAAATGGGGTCTCGAAGAGTAGAACCTGACTGAAATGACTGACCAACAATGATAAACACCTCAGAGAAGCATCCAGAACAGAGCTCCAATCCCTACCCTTCCCATCTCCAGCTCCTGGAGTCAGCTCCAGAGAAGCAGACGCACACGTGCTGTTAGATGGTCCCTTGCTCTGGTTAATGGGCTTGCTCCTCTTTTGATCTCAGCTGCATGTTCAACAGAGCACACTTCCTTCCCCGCTAGCAGACAGCAGGGTGGGTAAGACAGACCCAGCCCTACCTATGGACAACTAAAAAGTCAGTCCGGGTCAAGACTGGAGATGGGGATGGAAGGGGTGAAGGTCACCTGGGCTGCCCCACCAAGCTACCCACCTGTGGCATAATGTCACTGCATCCTCTGGCCTCTGTTCCCTACACCCTGGCCCTGTGGTGCTCCCCCATCATCCTTTCTGGCCCCCCAAGAAAACAGCCCCCTCTGACCCCAACAGCAAAGCAGGGGTAGCCGAGTGGTTTGGCTGCCCCAGATTCTGGGCTCCAGCTGGAGAGGGCCTCAGGAAGGTGAGGGGCTGAGCTAATCTGAGCAGCATGGCCCCATTTCTAGGGATGTGATTAGTAGAGAGGCATCTGGGACTTGCTCCATTTCAGGAAACCCGGTTATGTGAAGTGGGGGGGGGCAGGCTTTGCTCAGGACCTGATTCTGTTAACCCCTTCCAACTCCTGGTAGGGAGACGAAGCCTCTCAAGAGCTGCTTCAGCCCTTGACCCCGACTCGGTTCCTGGGAGGACCTCATCTTCCTACCTTAAGCTTCCCTGGTCAGTGTCCTCGGGGACATTTCCCCTTTCCTTCCTCACCCTCTCCCCTGGGAATCCTACAGGAGGCAGGAGAACAAGGCTGGCAGGAAGGCAGAGGAGGAGACAAAAGGGAAGTGTGAGGGGGAACCATGGATGGAAAAGGGGGGAATTCCAACAGAAAAGGGCCTGGGGAAGTCACCTCCCAACTGTGCCACTAATAGTTATGTGACTCTGGGTGCCTCAGTTTCCTCAACTGTAAAATAGTGATAACATATGAACTGACTATCCGACAGGGCTCTTGTGAGGCCCAAGCAAGATGACTTACTGATTTTGAAAGGCCAGTAAACACGACTGCTGCCATGGGAATGGCCCAGCGAGGAGGACTAACTGTGGTAGCCCTGCACGTTCCCTGGGAGGCTGCTCCATCTCCAAGGCTCCTGGGGGCTCCCCTGGGCTGCTGCCACAACAAACCGGACCCTCAGACTTGGTAGAAAGACAGAACCCTGAATCCTTAGACGAGGGGGCTCTTCGGTGCTGGACTCAAGAATGGACCGCTCCCCCTCGGGCCAGAGCCACCAGGCAGATGGAGACCCAAGCCCGTAGGAATCTGGGTTCTAGCCCCAGTTAACCCCCCACCCCCACCCCGGGAACTGCAGTAGATAGAGCCTGGGCTGGGAGAGAAGACCTGAGTTCCAATCCAGCCTCAGACACTTCCTAGCTAGGTGACCCCAGGCAAGTCACATAACCTGTTTGCCTCCATTTCCTCATCTGTAAAATGGGGATCCTTCCTGCCATGACTGTTGGATCAAATGAGGTAAGAGTTGCAAAGCGTGCAGCACAGTGCCTGGCACATGGTATGGACTTTGTGAATGTGCCTTCCCTGTCTGGGTCTCCATCTCATCGTCATCGTGTACAGTAAAGAGGCAGGGGGAGGTGAACCTAAAGGCGCCATCTAGCACCTGGGCTTGGATGGCTCAGGTCTGAATAGAGAAGGCTTGGTAACAGCACAGAGCGCAATGGGGTGGTGGCCACCAGTCCCGAGATCGAGGAGCACAGAGCTGGGGAGGAGGAAGAAATCTGGGGCAATCATTCACGACAAGGCAGTCACGGTGCCCTTAGCTCACACCATCCAGGAGAACCAAGAAGGCCTCACTGGGCCAACTGCCCTTGGGAGGGGCGTGGATTAGGGCAGCCGAGACCAATAACCTTGAAAACCGAGTTCCACATGACCTTGCTGGACTAGCACAGACTCCCACACCCCTCACCTTTTGGGTGGCCAGACACCTTGGGTAATTAAGTGAGGCCCCTGAAGCCTTCGAGACCTCGGGATGGGGGAGTGTCAAGGGTCACACACGAGTTTTCCATGACTCCCTCCCGGGGTAAGACTTATAAATCAGGGCTGGTGACAGACTCCAGAAGCCCTCTTCTTCCCCCCTCCTCCCATCTCTCCCCTCCTCTTCCTCTTCTTTCCATCTTTCCACCCTTCCTTTCATCCCACCCTCCCCTATCCTTCCATCCTCCCCTCCCCCATCCCTCCTCTCCCCTATTCTCCCGTCATCCCATTCCACCTCTTCTCATCTCTCCATCCTCTCCTCCCTCTCTCCTCCTCCATCCTTCCTTCCTTTTCCCCTCCTCCCACCCCTCCATCTTCTCCTCTACCCCTCCTCCACTCTTCCTTTTTCCCTTTCCTCCCACGACATCCATCCTCTCCTCCATCCTCCCTCCACTCTTCCTTCTTCTCATCCCTCCATCTTCTTTTCCTTCCCCTCCACCCATCCCTCCATCCTCTCCTCCATCTTCCCTCCCCCTCCTCCTATGTTCCATCCCCCCTCCTCCATCCTCCCTTCCCTCTCCCCTCCTTCCATCCCTCCATCCCCCTCCACTCTTCCTATTCCTCCATCCTCCCCCCACTGTCTCCTCCCATTCCTATTCCTCCATCCCCCCTTCCCTCCCCCCATTCTCCCCTCCTCCCACCTCTCCATCCTCTTCCTCCATCCTCTCATCCTTCCCTGCCCCCACCCCCCACCCCGTCCCCCCAGCCGAGGGTCTTGCGGAGCCGATAGCCCCGATGGGCCATGAGTTCAAGTCCCTCCTTCTTCTTCCTAACTGAGAGTCCCGGAATGAGCCCCAGGACCAGGGCGGGGTCCCGCAAGAACACGTGGGGGAAGGGTGACGGAGGGAGGGCCTGGGTGCGAATCGTGCGCGGACAAGGACACTGCCAGACCCCTCCCGACCCCAGGGGCGCGGCCTCGCTCACCTGGCACCTGCCGGCGGCGTCACGGGTCACAGGTCACACAGGTCACGGGGTCAAGGGCTGCGCAGGTCCGCCGGGGCCGCTCGCCCCCCGCCGCCGCCCGCGGGCAGCCCCAGAGCCAGCCCCGGCCGGCGCCCGGCCATCCCTGCCCCGGCCCGCGGGGCCCCCTCGGCGCCGGGGCTGGCTGGCCCGACCCGGTTCGTCAGCGGGCGCCCGCGGAGGCGGGCTGGTGGGCGGAGCTGCGGGGCGGCCCGCCTCCCTCCGGCCCCGCCCCCCCACCTCCCTGCGGCCCCCGCCTACCCCGCCTACCCCGCCTCCACCTCCGCCTCCGCCTCGGCCTCGGCCTCCGTCAGGAGCTCGGGCGGGCGGAGGGGAGTGGGCAGGGCGGCTCGAGAGAGGAAGAACCGAGCGCGCAGGCGCGCGGAGCCCAGGCCGCGGGGGCGGGGCGTCAGAGGCACGCGCCGAAGGCGGCCACTCATGCGCAGGCGCGGGCGCGCGGCGGGAGAGACGCCCGCGTGAGGAGGCGTCGGCCGCGTCGTGGGCGATGGAGGCGAGGGCCGTGTGCGAGGTGATGGTGGCGCGGTGGGGCGGGGCCGCGGCGTGAGGAGGAGGATGGGGGCGGGAGCCTGTCGGCCTTCTTTTTGCAAGGGTCCTTTTTTGTTGGATTCTTCTGTCCTTACGTCACCTAGAGTCCCCCTCCCCCCGCCCCCCAAGGACCAAGCGAGAGAAGAAGCCGTGGAGGCCTGGGGAGCCCCCGAGCATGCGCGAGCGCCTCCGCAGGCTTCTTTGCATTTCCAAGGTTGACGTCACTGCGCGCCCGTTGACGTCATCGCTTCTCCCAGAACCCCGGTCCTCGCTTCTGCTTCTGGTCCCTTCCCCCAGGCGGTGTGCATCTGTCTACTTCGTGCAGCCGCGATAAGGGCCCCTATGATTATTTTAAAGAAAAAAAAGGACTTCATTGAGGTCTCTGCCTAGCCTTCGAGTGGGGACGTTTCGGCCATTTTATTTGCATGAGTACAAATGACTCTGCAGAGTGGTTGTGCTCGTTCGCAGTTCCACCAACAATGCATTAGTGTACCTATCTTTCCACTTTTTTAGCCTTGTTTTAAAATAAAAAAATTACTTGTGTACTCCTAAACTCCTGGTTACAACTTTTACAGCCAGTTATCTCCTCTTAATGAATTAACAATAGCACTTGACTTCCCTGTTTTTTTGGAGTCCCAACAACTCAACCCCATCCACCCTCCCCTTCTTCAGCCTTACACCAACTAGCTGGCATTTTCACCCCTTTCCCCCAGTCATGGGCCTCTCAACTCGCTTCACTCTTCCCATGTTCTACTTTTCTTACTTACCTTGCCTTGTTGATCTTTTCCTTTTCCTTCCTGAGGTTCTACTTCCCACTTCAGGGCTCTACTCCTTGATCTTCCTTAAACTTTTTAAATCTTCCTCATTTGCCCTTTACTCTGCTCCTATTTGAACTGAACAGTAGAATTTGGACCGGTCAGTATCTGGGCCTGAAGATTATTCTCCTTCCAGTTTTCTTAAAGTTTTCACAAATTTTGCCAATTTGTCTTACTTAAATTCAGCCTCACACCTATACAAGGCACCTACACGATTTCCTTCTTATTATCCATGCCAAGTCTAATAGGAATATTATTTAGAGCTAGTAGGGACCTCAAAATCCATTTAGTCTATCTCCTCTGTTTTGTAATTGAGAAAAATGAGGCTCAGAGAGGTCTTGCTCCTTTCACAATCTTGTCTCATAGAAGCCAGAAGTAGAATGCTTAGGTAGAGGACTCAATACACTGATGGATTAATGACCTCATCAATGTAGATACTCCCACCTTTGGTGAAAACTGAAATCCATCTGTGACTTCTCATCCTGTGCAATTCTTCTGTCCGTGCTTTTCCATAGTGTATTTACTGGTACTTAAGAGCCCTTCTCCCCTTTCTTAATATCTTGTGGCCTCTCTCATCCCTATTCCTACATCAATGGCTAGTCTCCTTTTGGGGTCATCCATTTCCTTGCCAATCTCTCTTATGCTGCTTTCTTAACATAAGTCATAATTGATGATTACTGTGTATCTTTCCAGGAGATCACAGTGAACCCATAATTTGAGTCATGAGAAGTGAGAATACAGATTTTTTTTTAAAATGGCTTGTGAGATCATTGACAATAATATATACCATACAGGCTGGCTAGCCTCTTTGTCCTTGTTTGTTTTGGGAGCCATTTCTCTTCATTGTCTTCAGGGCTCTGTCCAAAATGTAGGTGCTGATGGATTAACTCAATGGGCTGCATGTTTGCTAGCAAGACACGTCTGGGTAATGTGCTTTCTTCATCCACTAGTTTTTGTCTCTCTGCCTTGTTGCACCATCCTCTTCTGAGTGTTCTATTGAAAGCAAAAACTAAAATTGAATAATATTCCCTCTCTTTTATTGCCTTAGTGCTGTAGTATAAAAATGTAACAAGTTACACAAATGGCAATAGTACTGAAAAATTCTGTTCTATTTTTTTAAAAAGATTCGGTGTTTTATCAGAAACATCGAGAAGGATCTCGAAATCATAACCATGGTCTTTCTTTAAAAATAGAGTCAGCTCATGTTCAGTGCAAAGGAACTGATGCTATGGGAAATTATAATATACTTGTGAGGGATGACTAGAACGATTCAGAGAAACAATATTGATGATCACAACCCTGTTCTATTACCTGTGTTGCCCATAATTAATGATAATAAAAAGAATTTTTCAGTTCCTTTCTTCCTGCCCATGGCATGCCATAATTGTTATGACCAGATACACTTTTAATACAAATTATTTTGTCTCTGTTTCCTATACTTTGGGACTGTGATAAACACAATCTTTTATGTCTCAATTCCTTTGGTTGCTCTTCTGCTCAGACACACCATCTCTGCTCAGAACTGATGTCGTTGGAGCTTGTACAAACAGGCAGTATAGTATTCAAACTCCAAGTGTTATTAGTTCGTCATTGGAAATGTACTATTTATTGTTACTGTGATGTCTAATACGAGTTAAGCCCTTCCTCTGAGTTGTGATCTTTTCAGATTTTGAAATACATAATTATTCACTGGAAAAGGCAAGCGGCAGAACTAAGTCGGGAAGCATTGTTGGAAGGGGAGCTGCTCATTTCCATAGAAGAATCAACTTCAAAATATCGAGCAGACCCTTTTCATTATGTGACAACCAGTAAGTTGAGCAAAAGGAGCTGAATTTCTGTGTTTCATGGTATTTTATATTTTATGATGTTACAATAACTGTTAAAGTTGATTTTGAGGTTTTTAACTTAAGTCAGCCTCGAATTGCATTTCTTTATTTTAGACGCTCGTGACTATTTCATGATTCAGACCTGGCATGGGCATGCAGCCACCCTACTGCAGTGGTTACTCAGCAGATATTTGGTGATGGGCTATTCAGATGCGTTACCCAGGATAGGGTTACTTGCCTCAGCCATTTAGCTTGGAGCATCCCCTTCAGAGAAAGGGCAAGACTCAGGGAGAAGAAAGAGTCGAGAGATGAACAGCTCACACGTTGATCTTCTTGACTTTCTTTCAGCTAGCTTGAGAAGGTCTCTAAGCTCGTGCCATTTGTCAGAGGCCTGCGGTTTGCCCAGCCCGCGTTCTAAGTCATTGGCTCCTGCCCCACTGCTTTGCTGTGCGTTCCATACACTTAGATCTATACCAGCTGGGGACTCAAACACTTACAAGCTTCTTTAGCCCACAAAAGACCGACCATTTCATTACTACTCTTTTTTTTTTTTTTTTTGGCTGCTCCTTAGGTATCTAATAGGAGTAGAGTGAAAGTCTGTTGTGGGCTAAACTCCTTTATGTTTTAGGAAGGTGTGCTTATGGTGGTAATAATGGTTCCATAGTAGTTCCAGGACCAGAGTGGGCTCCAGGGACGTGTCCTAGGGACTCTTTTTCCTTTATTTGTATCCCTAGCCATTATACAGAGCCTGACCCCTAGTCAGTGCTTCGTCAGTGCTTGGTGACTGGCTGAGCCGCCCCTTCTAGGGAAGAGGGAGAGGTGATGAATAGTGGAGTCACTGCTGAGAAACCTGTGTGACCTGCTTGGAAAGCCCAGGATGGGGAGCGACTGGAACATTTCCTCAGCGGAGTGGTCTACCCCAAAGTACCGGCAGTGGGGCATGTTCTCTTTTCTTTCTTGGTGATACCAGGATACTTTGGCAGATATTGTCGTTAATGCCTTCCAAGGCGTCTAGCCTGCTGATGGGGATTATGGAGTGTTATATTTGTGCTTGAAGGACAGCGAGCACATTGTGATGTTAGCATAACACAGGGACAGAATCTCAGAGGTGTAAGGACCTTGTGAGGCCGTCTCATCCAACCTGGGCCTGAACAAGAGCACAGAATTCAGATGACCTCTCCATGGAGGGAACACAAGAATTCTCTCTTCTCACTCTTTTCCCTGTCACCAGAGCCCAGGTCTTTTGGGGGTTGTTGGATTTATTTGGGATTATTCACTAAAGGACATCTGTGAAATCAGTGGATTTGGAGTCAGAACGGGGATTAAATCCTGGCTCTGTGATCGTGGGCAAGGCATTAAGCCTATCTCAGTTCTTCATTTATAAAATGGGGATGATCGCATCTTCATTATTTTTGTTGTGGGTGTTTGTGAGAATCAGATGAGATCATGTAAGTCAGGCTAGAATGCTATATATGTCAACTATTAAGAGTATTATTTTAAGGGCCTTAGCCTAAGTTTGAGTACATAGCAGGGACTTCTTCCCTAATAATCTCATCGAATCTCATCAGTTCTGAAAGAGTAAAGCTGGTGAGAGACATACGTTATGAATTTGTTTCATAGGTATTAACTTCCTTTCCACCTATGTAACTTGAAAATAAGGTCCGGACCCTTAAATTGGCTATTATCCTGGAGTGGTGTATTGGGAGTGAAATGCTCTGGTGACTGGTTACATGTTGCAGTTTTCCTGTAACCCTTCTGTATTCAGTTCAGTGTCTAAAAGAAGCAATTAAGGCATTGAGCTGGAGACCAGCAGTTAGCCATCGGGCCATCAGCCTCCCCACAACAGGGGTCTGTCCAAAGCCGTGTTTGTGGTTGGTACATAGGAGACCCATACCTCAGAGAACAACATAGTAGTGGGATTTTTACTTAACAGTTCATCTGTTTCTGTGAGCCTTTTGAAGTGCCCTATGAATGCTAGCTATTATGTGTCTCTTGTATTTATAATTAATCTGTGTCCATTCAATTTGATGCTTTAAATGGGACCAGTTTCAAAGTTCCTTTTCTGATGATGCTTTGTATATTTCTTACAGTTGCCTTTGCAGGAAGTACATGTGGTGACTTAGTGCCCAAGCAGTTTCTAAAAGGTAAATAACAGATTCCAGATGAACGTCTCCCTAATGGTGGGCTCTGGTTCTGATCCCTCTAATTTTGTCTGTATTTTTTGTGGGTTGGGGATTATCTGAAATGGCAACTTGACAATAGATTGTGGTCTTCAATTGAGTCAGGGCTGTCTTACTGATTAGCATAGTGAGATTCAAATCTGAGCTCCACAGAGAATTGTCTCTGTGAGGGACTTAAGTCAAGTTTTTGCCAGATGTGATATATAGCTAATGGAGTAAACTGACTTCTTTCTATCTCCTTCACAGAGTGGTTGAGGGTGAGATCATGTCTGCTAGGTGACATTAGCTAAAATAAAGGCAGCAGCATTTTGCCTATTTACTACATTCCAAAGAAGGAATGACCTATGCCCTTAAGAATGTCTTTCTTTTTCATCTCAGTATTTCCTTGACTTCTACTTTGAAAACAAACCGAGAGCTGATGGAACTAAGAGATTTTTTCTCAAACACTTTTATTGACATCTTTATAATGGACTCTTTTTAATTTTTTTTTTCTTTTTGGTGAGGCAGTCAGGGTTAAGTGACTTGCCCAGGGTCACATAGCTAGTAACTGTCAAGTATCTGAGGCCAGATTTGAACTCAGTTCCTCTTGACTCCAAGGCTGGAGCTCTATCCACTGTGCCACCTAGTTGCCCCCTACTGATATCTTTTTAATGGACTCATTTTAATTTTCCGTTGTACCTTTTCCCCACTTTTCTTCAGAGCTTCATCCCTTGCAACTAAGAATAAAAAAGAATCACTGGATCATGGGATCATAGATTTGGAGATGAAAGTAACCTTAGAGATTATTATGTCCCTCTCTTGATTTTACAGATGAGGAAACTGAGGCCTAGGGAATTAGGGTTAGGGTCTTGTCTCAGACTATATAGTGTAGGAGGTAGGATTTGAACCCAGATTTCCCTGACTCCCAAGACTAGTACTCTGTCTTCTACTGTGAGCTGCCTCTCAAACAAGAGACAAAAGAAATTATAGTAATAATTCAGTAAAACTGACCATTAGCCAAATTGGAAAGCACATGTGATATTCTGTAGCCATAGTGCCCAGCTCTGTAAAGACACAGTGGAGAAAGAATTAAATATATTACCTCAGATTTACCTGAGATTTCATTTGATCAAAGTGCTTAAGTTTTGGTCTTTGAAGGGAATACAATTTACCAAAATCAACTTTATCACTAAATGGAGTTGTTTTCCTAATTTTAAGAGATTAACAACATTTCCGTTTCTACTTAACTCCCACTGAATCTAATGTAGCCTCATTGTTAAGGCCTTCCATTGTTCATCACAAATGTGTCCTGTCTTTGAAAAGCCTGAGAGATGTGAAAACATGAACCTCCCTCAAACAAGACCTGTTATGGTGATATTTGAAAGATACTTTCAGTTAAATAAAATAATACCAAAAAAGTGTGGCAGGTGACATTGTGGTATGAAGGAAAGAGTGCCGCCTTGGGCCAGGGGACCTACGCTCTGATCCCTTGCTAGCCATGTGAGTATGGATGAGTCATTGAAAACCTGGCTGAGTTTGCATTTCCTCACCTGGAAAACGAGGGGGTTTGGCCTGGATGACCTTTGGGATTCCTTCCAGCCCTAGATCTGTGATATCCTATCCAGTGTTGTGCATGCATGTTTGTGGAAGGGCTTTCAAGACTCCAAGAGGGTGGTGCCTCCATCACGTCATCACCATCATCATCATCATTCTTGTCCTTAGGCTGTTAGGAAGGAGGCAGCAAATTGCTGCAGGCTAAGCCTTCATTTGTTACCCTAGCACAAGTTTATGACCGCTCATTGTCTCTTTTGCCATCTTTAATCTATGCCTAAATATCTGGAATTTCACATAACTAATATCTGAAGACAGTGCTTTTAAAAGCTCAAAGCCATTTCATTCATGACCTTTTCTGTTGCCGCAGTACAGATGGGAGTGGGTGATATGAAGGCTGTATTGCTGAGGCGCCATGGTGTACTGCATTAGCTCATATACTGGGGGTCACCCTGGTGGCCCTTGGCCTGAGCCCAGATTTCCTCCCTCCTACTCTGCCTGCTTCTTGGGAATGGGGTTCGTGCTGCTGCTACATTCTGAACCCCGGGCTCCCACCTCCATGTGCCTGGCCATTGTTACTATTTGCATCGTTAGTCCTGTTATTTAGCGTTTCTGTGACATTTAATGTGAAAGTACTTTAAAATAGCTCGTCCATCAGCCCTTCCCGGTGTCTGATTCATTAACCAGCAAGTTGCTAGCTGTCCCTCAAAGCTTGCTGTAAGCCTTTGAGTTCTCCACTTTATTGTGTCCATGCCTGGAGTAAGAAAGCCAGACTTTGAGCTGCTGCAGCCACTCAGCTGGTCATCCTCATTATTCGTCACCTTTCACTCTCAAAGTTATGTCAAACTGCATTTTTTCCTGGGTCGAGAAGCCTCAGAGTCCTTTACAGAACCCAGGGTCAGTTTCCTGGGTATTGTACTGATTTAAGGTTGAATTTCAGTGACAGTATTTTCCTTGTCTTCCTGTTCCTCTAACTCCCTATCTTCCATGATGGTTATTTGACCTCATACTTCCCAAATATGGGTGTGACCCACGACCCAGTCTGTAGCTCTGTCTCTCACTTAGAGACATCATCCACTTTCGGGGCTTTAACTTTGAACTCTTCATCCTGACTCAAAAATCTCTGTACCTGACCTCTTCCCAGAATTCCAGTCATGGGTCTCTCTATGTTGGAATAGTTTACTTTGATGTTCACTTTCATCTCAAACTTGACTGTGTCTGAATCTTCCCTTCAATTTGCCTTTCTTCCTGCTTTTGCTTTTCCTCCCGATGGCACCAATGTTCTCCCAATTGTCCAGGCTAGAAAGCTCAGTCATCTTGTTACATACTTTGCATGGCCATATATGTGTACATATTATTTCCTTTAATAGACTTTAAGCTTCCTGGTGGCAGGGTTTTTCATTTTTGTCTATGTACTGTGTACTTGGCACAGGTACCTAGTACACAAGCATGTGCCAGGCTTAGTAAATGCTTGCTGATTGCTTGACTAGCTTATATTGTTGTCTGGTTATTTTAATATATTTTTATATTGTATCATCCACTCATCTACCAAGGTTGTTCCCCAGTGATCCCCTGTGGTATAATGGTGACCCTGGGATCTCATTGGTTTGTAGATTCTGGCAGATACTACTGACCATGAAAGACTGTAACTAGGGGCCCTTCTGCAATGAATGATGTGGTGTTTGTCCTTCAGGAATGAACCTTGCTAAGTTTGAAGAGGCTCATCCCTAGAAGACTGGCCGTAGCAACACTGGGAGCTGCATATTAAGGCATGGAGTGGTTGGGTTATGGCTTGGGCTTGGGAGCTTACACCCTGCTAAGCTCCCAGAGCCTGGGAATAACCAACTATGGTCTAAGGGTCTGAAGTCAGGATCTATCTCATCTTCCTTTGTAGCCCCCTGGCATACCCAGCACGCAGGGCATGTTTATTAAATACTTGTTGACTTGGATATTTTATGACAACCTATCAATCCAGGAAAATGGTCTTCTGAGAAGGGACCAGATTGTTAGATGCAAACTACCTCCAGTAGTATAGTCGTTTTCTATGCGTTTAATTAAACTTATGTGGAGCAGAGGTAGGCAGAACACTTCAGTGGGTAAGGAATTTGCCCCAGCCATGCAGGTAAAGAAAATGTAGATTGGGGGAATAGTGAGAAGGACATAGTACTTTAGAGATTTGTCCCATTGGTTTATTAGTCATCTTTCTTTGATTGTGTATTTGTATGAGTGATTGTGTGCCAGTGATTGACAGTGTGTAGAAGGTGTAGCTGTAAAAGAATGAGACTGATTTTCTCTAGTGACTCAGACTGGTCCGGAAGTCAGTTTCAAGAGTTCCCAAAATGTGTGGGGTAAGGAGAGCATCATTGAAAGGCTATTTTGAAGAATAGATGTTTAAGTTTCTTAGGTTTATCGAAAGTGCAGCTTGATTTTATAGTCCTGTCTTTGTGTCACCTGCTGTCGTGTACCATCCACAATAATGGATCCTTCATAGCAAATATCTGCTTGGTAAGACTAGATAGTTAAACTTGTTTGTCTATTGTTTTATTGCCCTGTTTTCCCCATCTCTACCTTTGTATCTTACCCCATTTCATTATTAATTATTATTGATGTGATCTAGTTATTGGAGGTTTTTTTAAATCTGCTAATCACCTCTAAGCCAGTTTTAAAAGTGTTTTTCCAAGATCAGAGAAGAGTGTTCCTTCCTTTTTTGTGTCTAAGGCAAGATTAGCATATTAGCCCTTGAGGTAGCAGTGGATATCAATTGGCTGAAGGTGTCTGGTTCGAATAATTCATTGTTTGCTTGCTTTTCCCTGCACCCCCCTTTTAGGCATTGGCCAAGAGCAATTCTTGTTATTTTTCACTTCATTAATTTGTTGTTGGCCAAGGAAGCTGGGAGTGGTTAGAGGTTAGACAGGCTCAGTCCTGCTCACCAGAGGATGAGAAGCTGCCATTGGTCGAGCTCTGGAATCTGAAGGAGCTTGTTCTTTGCCTGAGATGGTGCTGCCTTTACAAAGGGAGAATCTTCGAACATGTCGAGCACTTCCTTTTCCTCCTAGAGCTCGTTTTGTAAACATTGTCTTGCTCTTATGAGGTAGATCATAAACAAGTGTCATCACTGTTCCTGTAATTTAACTTCTTTATTGAGTCTCCTTTGCCCTCCGGAATATTATATTCTAAGCCCTCCGATGTCTTAATGTAGAAGCTGCTAAATCTTGTGTTACCCCCTTTTTAAGAAGAAAAGTTTATTTATCTCTGTAACCAAATTTGTCGTAGTTTTGCTTTCTTATGAAATTATTCTCTGAATCATTATATTTTTGAACATTTACAAGGCATAGGATTGTGGATTTATATAGCTTGAAGGGACTCTGTAGTAGTCATCTGTTCCATATATTTCCAGAGAGATTGAGTTACCTAAGTTCATACGGGTAATAAAT